CCATCCATCCATCCATCCATCCATCCATCCATCCATCCATCCATCCACCCACATCCACTTCTTTCTTTTCCCCATCATAAAAAAATATCATTTGTGAATACCTACCTTCATTACGACAATCTACACTTGAGCTTTTAGAGTTATTCTTAGAAAAACATCAAGAATGTTCCCAGAATTTTTTCTCTGCTTCAACCTCTGGTGTTTATTATTCTTTTTTCTTCTGCTGGATTGTGTTTGAAAAGATGTGAAGCAGTTTGATAGTTTTATGACCGTTCTTAAAGCTTTATAAGTTCCTCTTATGTGGAGAGAAACTTGTCACTCTTGCTTTACAGGCAACGAAAATCAGTATAATTACTGTCATTTTAATTCTTATAAGTCTGTAGGTTAAACAAGGGTTACTGTAGTTGTGAGAAGACAAAATAACTGCACAGAGTATTATCAATTGTATGAAAGTAAAAGCAGTGAGTATATAAAGTGCTTTTTCAAGGTTTTTTTGTACAACGTGACCTCATATGCCATTTATTTTTAGTTATAATTAATTTCCTGCCTTGTATGTGCACTAAAACCTTTTTTTTTGTAGTTTAATTTGCTGCTGAGTGAGTTTTGACATTATTTCTTGATGTTTACTTTGAGAAGAGCATTTACATTTTCCGCCCATTTCAGACAAATCTTTTAATCTTAGTGAGGCGTTTCTTATTCTAAGACATCGTTGTGGATTTTTGTAAACAGTGTGGATTCAGCTGAAGTCTTGTCTAATTTTTTAAGTGCTGCAGCCTTCAATAGATTCATTGAAGATTCTTTAGAAACTGAATTATGCAGATAAAAGAAACTTGCACTCAACTTTAACACTAAAACAATAAGAATGTCAATACTGAATAAGAGCATGCTTCATTTTTTTTTTTTTTTTTTTAGGTATATTCCCTTCTTCATCGTTCTGTTCATCTACTTCAGTGGCTGCTTCTCAGACTCTGATGAGCAGAAGAAACTTCCAGTTTCAGGTTGGCTGTTACTGGGACCCAGCGCACTCTACTACTGGTCAGTCTGGAGAGTTTCAACAAAACTCTGCTTGTACATGATTAACCCATAAAATATGCACATGTTCTTAATTATCACACATTACATGAATAAAGAGACCACCTTGAACCAAACTTTCATTTAAACGTTAAAAATACAAGAAATGTTGGTGAATGTGTTGTTCTGGTATGACGATATAAAATATGTTCTCAGCCTGACTTATTGACTATATTTGTAAAAATCCTCACACCACCATGTTTGTGTGAATGCTTATTAAGAATTCACACTGTTGTTATCCTGTTTATATTTATTATTATGCCGTATTCTACTTCCTGTAAACTATTCTGTACGTTTTTCGGCATCTCTTTCCTTCCACAATTTTTGTGCTATTTCAAAACGTTCAGCTTTTTCAGGACAATCCTGCTATGACTTTTGGTATTAGTGCACCTTTAGCTTTGTGAAACATTTAGCTTTTTCTGTCATTTTTCTCTCTCATAGAAAATGAATTGAGCTCATTTTCCATCCTTCAAACCTTTAGATGTGTTTACAACCTTCTACTGCTCCTTTCACATTTTGTTCTGGTTCAGCTTCTTTCAACTTCCTTGTGCAAATGTAAACTTTTTTTTCAGCTACTTTCAGCTACTTTCAGCTTTTTTGTGCTCCTTTCAGCTTCTTTCTGCTAACTAAAACATTTTTGTGCTTCTTCTAACTTAATTCTGCTACTTTCAGCTTGTTTCCTTTCAGTTTATTTCTCAAATTTCAGCTACTATTTAGCTGTTTTAATGCTAATTTGAGCTTTTTCAGGTAATTCCACATTTTTTAGCTCATTTCATCTCTTTCCACTTTCTTCTGGTAGTTTTAAGCATCTTTCTGCCTTTTCAGCTGTTTATTGCTAATTTCAGCTTGTTTTAGCTAATTTACTAATTTTTGTGCTAATTTCTGCTTATTTAAACCTAATTCAGCAAATATGCGTTCTTTCTGCTTTCTTCTGCTAACTTAGGCTTGTTCTTCAATTGCAGCTACATTTGTTTTTAGCTAATTTCAGCTGTTTTTCAGCAAGTTCTTCTGCAATAAGCATTCACACTGCATTTTTGCAGGAAATGCAGTTTCTCTAGTTTCTTCATAAAGACATTGATTGTCACAACATCTGCTGTGGCCTGTTTCTGGGAGCACTACCATCCGCATCAAATGCATTTAACGCTGCTTGAAGGATTTAAGGTTTGCAGCCAATGCAGGCTGTATCTGTGCAGTCATTTCAGTGCTTTAAGCTACGTATGGTGTGATATCCAGCAGCTAGCTTTAACTGCTGGAAATAAGCCAATGTGCGTTTTTATGCTGATTTGTTGAAAATAATCCAAAAAACGGCAGATGTGGAATACGTGATAGCACTGTTTAGACAATACAAAATAAATCAGATGAAATAGCGGTGCAAACAGAAGCTGCATTTGTTTTTCCTAATATTTTACTGACATTTTAACAAACTAATATTTGATTTGTCTGTGACGAGGCTAAACTATCAGTAGCACACAGCAAGTTGAATCAAAGGTGACCAAAGTTTTTCTTTGTCTTGGTGATTGATGAAGGTCATTCACTGCTCATCTGTGAAGGTTTTCAGTCAGAATAGGAAGACAAAATTGGAAACAAACAATAAAAAATAGGTGTGTAAAGTGACAAGAAACCAAGGTTTTCTGTTTTTAGCTCTCTACATTTTAGGTCAGAGTCATGACGATGTCTGTCCCAGTCACGTAGTTGCAACATGGAAACAAACACGTGTCAAAGTACTCCTCATCAAGATGCTCATATTCCTGTCACTGCAGAACTCAGGAGGGAATGATGTTAAAATTATGGAACTAGGGGTGCAGAGGGGGCTGCAGCACCCCTGAGCGGGTGATGGTGCTGATCTCCACTAATGAAAAGTACGCCCTCGACAGATTAAAGACTTGCATGTTCAAAACCTAAAAAAAATACCAGTAATAAGAACAAATAAAAACCTTATCATTATACCAATATATTCTAATTGAAGTGCTGTGTAAGTTGTTTGAATTACATTGATCCTTTTATTTGTAATGGACGATTAAAAGTGTTATGATGTTCCTCTTATTGCGTCACTTCCAGGATTTGACGTCATCTAAATTCAGGCACCTGCTTGAAGTGATTCTACACAAAGTGAATAATGAATTTACATTTCAAAATCACCCAAAAATCTAAACGAAGCAGAATCTGTAAATGCCATGGACTGCAGCACTCAGGAAGAAAACCTTTTTGCTAGCTGAAAGGCTAAAATAAAAGTCACCAAGAGCAGGAAGCACTCAGCTGCATAGATACAGTAGAAATACACAACATATTCAAAATACACAACAAATGTTTACAATTTTAATAATCGTATATGACAACATCTATGTTAGTCGCTATATATGTAAATGTATTTGTTTGAGTTTGAGGGCATTAAAGAGCAGAAGCAACACTTTTAGAAAGAACACCTCTTTAATATTTTTCTTTTACAAACCATTCTACCAACAACATGGAAAAAACGTTAAAATATGACCTTTAATGTGCTTTTACCAGAAAAGCACATTAACTCCTAATTTAAACATTTTTTTTTTGTTTCTTTTTTGCAGTTTTTCCTCTTGTTGCAAGTTAAAGCTGTTAAGATTGGAGTTCATATTTATTAAAAATGAGTTGACAGAAAGGCAAATCATAATCATTACGTCTTACTTTAGAGAAACAACTTAATGTAAATTACAGTGTTGTCATTGAATTGTCCTGTAAAAAGTAATTTGGTGACAATAGCTCACAGAATAATGCCCCTGGTATTGATTGAAATATGTTTAGAGAGATGCTGTGGAAGTAGTAAATCTCCTAAAATAACTATCCTGATGCATGCTCAATAATCCAGGTAGAAAAATCTAAAAAAGTTAAATCTGGTCCTCTGGACATTCAAAAAAAACAGACTGAAGAAGTCTCTCGGACGAGAGACGAAACGTTTCTACATTTTTTGTTGTTTTGCTTTGTTTTGTTTTTTTTGAATGTCCAGAGGACCAGATTTAACTTTTTTAGACTCCTAAAATAACATTTTTTCTGTTGGAAATTAAAATGCTGATGAAATTTATAAACGTCTCGACTGTGAAAACAGTAAAACACCACATATGCACACATGTACAGCTTTCTCAGTTTCTGTCAGAAATCATTCCTGACATGTTCTCCATCCCGTCTTACAGGTACTTGGTCACCGAGGGACAAATCACCGAAGTCTTCCTCCTTACTTTCCTCGCCATGGTTGCCATGGTGATGTTCCAACACCATAAAGGTGTCGGCGTCGACAGCAACGGCCGCTTTCTTTTCTATAGTTTCAGTGTGACAGTGCTGCTGGTGATTCTGTGGGTGGCCTATCTGTGGAACGACCCGGTTCTCCGCAACAAGTACCCGGGCCTCCTCTACGTTCCTGAACCCTGGTCCTACTACACCCTGCATATCAGGAAGAGCCACTGAATGACAGGTTCACGCTCAAACGACAGAAGTTTGAGCTTTTTAATGAACTCATTGACTCAGTATTTCATTTCTTTAAGCACAACGCTCTTGAACAACAAGCAGAACTTTTGGACCCACTTCTCTGAAAACACAAACTGCTGACTAAATGAAAAACAGCTTTATATTTTACTATCACTTTGAAAAATCCCATGTTTAATATTGTTGCTTAACACACGAGCTGCGTAAGACTGAAGTTCTCAAACTTTTTAGCTTCAAACTCCCAAAATAACAATGGCCTCGAAAACCTTCAGTGAAATGAAGCCCATTGAACTGAAGGCAGCTGCGTGAGCAAAAGGTTAATACTTTCCTGCCTCTTAGGTTGCTGAATGTCAAGTGTGAGCTCACTGGAGTTAACAAAAGTTTGGTGAAGGATACGTCCAACGAGAACATCTCAGATATTTTATACATAATGATGTGACAGCTTGAGGAGGCTCTGAGTCATCTCCACCTTTTAAGAATATGATGAATATATGGTGGAGTGAAAAATGTTCTTGCCTCAAAGGATGCAGTCATTCAGCATCTATAAGCTCAGGATGCATTTAACAAGTCAGAGGACACACAGGCTGTAGACATTTCTCTGTGGCTTGAAAATGAAATTAAACTATTCAGTTTGCATGTCTGATAAACTGGATACATACAGAGAATTACTTCTGGAGACTGAAATGGATTCGTTGCCTCATACCTGTGACTGCACAGAAAAGGAGGGATGGGTGCAGTTGTTTTTTTGTCAAGTGTTTATAACACTTCACATTGAACACCTTGTCTGGCTGTTAGTATTTTAATTAGAAGCTGGAAAAGCCCCTGCTTTCTGTCAATTCAGCAGATGTTGAAAGAAGGAATTATGAAGGCCCAACACCTGGACATGGGTCAGGTTTTAGTTTTAAATTGATTCAAAATGTTAAAAAGTAAGAACTGACAAATGGGATTTTTGTGTGTTTGAAATACATTTTTTATTAATTAAAAAAAAATGGAAAAAAAGAGAGTGGAAAATGAGGCTTTGCATCAAAACTTGTAATTTTATAATGAGTGCAAAGAACATCAAACACCATTTTATTTGACTTAAAAATCCATTTGTGTATTAATAATATTTAAACCTGGACCTGTTCTGGTTCTGTTGGACCAGGACTATTCACCTTAACTGCTCAGGGGCCACAATTACTGAAAGCCAGCAGCTCAGGGGCCGGACATCCAGCAGTTATTAAGTAAGTTTGTTTTATGGTTTAAAAATATAACGGTAGTTTTATTAAAATGAACCCATCTGTGGGCCGAACTGAGTTCACATGTGGGCCTCATTTGGCCCCTGTGCCGCTAGTTGAATAGCGCTGTGTTAGACAATAGCTAATGCAGAAAGAGAGCATCAAAGTATTATTTGGATTGTTCAAGTGTTTTTCAGGTCTTCATGTGAAGGTATGAAATTATAAAACTGTATACCATATTTTTCGCTGTATAAGTCTTTTTTTTTTTTTTTTTTTGTGCATAATTTACATGCCCTGCGACTTATAGGCCGAAGCGATGTATTTATGGATTTTTTCCCCATATTTATAAATCAATTTTTGGATGAGATATGACCGTTTTCATTAATTCTGACTGAACAATTTTGAACACTACTATTTTCAGCCACTAGATGGCAGCAGAGTTTAAAGGCCATTGTATCATGTAATAGGTAAAAGTGGCAATTCAGTTCAATTCAGTTTATTTATATAGTGCCAAGTCACAACAGAAGTCATCTCAGGGCACTGAACAGAAACATTCATATATAAAGATAATAAGTTAACACTATATATCTGAGGAGCAGACTGCTTTGAATTTAATGACTTAATCGGCTTGCCATAGCCTGCCACCATTGTCTGCCTGGAGCAAACAAATCCGCTTCATTTCACTGCGCCACCCCGGCAAAATGCAGCTGATTTGACTGTCAAAGTGCATTTATTAAGCACAAGTTGAACTGAGACACACCTTTACTATAAAGCTGAGATAACAAATAATTGTTTTGAGGTGGTTATCTTGTTAAATTTTGAATGAATGCGCAGAGGCTCGTCCCTCTGTGTGTGCCCGCTTCCGCAAATTGGGTTTTGCAATGCAGCAGATTTGACCTTCAAAGAGCATTTATTAATATTAATAAATAATATTAACAAATAATATTATTAGCATTTATTGGGGGAGTGGTGGCACAGAGGTTAGAGAAGGTGGGCCCGTGGTCGAAAGATCACCGGTTCAAGCCCCGGTACCGACAACATCAGAAATGTAGGTGGGGTAGGTGAAGTACCCACACATGCCCCCACCCTTATTCGCCCCACTCTGGGCCCATGAGCAAGGCCCTTAACCCCCATCTGCTCAGGTCTCTCTTGAAAATGAGTTCTCATGGCTCAATGAGACTACCTGTATAAATAAAGGGTAAATTAAAAAAATAAGCATAAGTTACACTGAGACACACCTGTACTATAATTTTGAGCAACCAAATAATTGTTTTTAAGTGTTAATCTTGTTAAATTCTTGTTAAAGTCCTCTCGTGCACACTCCCGTTGCCGCTATTTGGCAGCCAATTGATTTTTGGCACAACACCGTCCCACATTTCCGCGTTGTCAGTGGAGACGCGTAACAAACGCGATGTGTCAGTGGACATACATAATAGATGCAACGTATACGGTGAAGCGACACATTTATGGATTTTTCCACTAGACATATTTGGACTGATGCAACTTATAGTACGGTGCGATGGGTACGGCGGAAAATACGGTACTTGTCACATTGTGTTTATTTTTCTAAAGCTGTGAGATAAAAATTAGACCTGGAAGTTATTTTTAGACAACTAGAAAGCATTTTTAAAGAGAGTTCATGCTGACGACTAACTAATACACATGACGAAAAGCACAAAGGTAGAGAAAGGCCATGTAATTCAGAAAACTTGAAAGAGAATTCTACTTTTTCCTGTACTTTACATTTGATAGAAAAATATTATATGAGTGTCTTTCTACTATGTAAACCTGTATTATCGGTACTATGTAATACTGTCACAGTATTTTGTCTACTTTTCTTCACATTTAACCATTTGAACATCCTTCTTCAGCTTGGTTCAGCTTGGGATGTAGAAATTTTTTTTTTTTTTCATTTAGCCTTTATTTATCCAGGTTAGTCTCATTGAGCCACGAGAACTCATTTTCAAGAGAGACCTGTTTAGGGAGCACATGGTGGGGGTTAAGGGCCTTGCTCATGGGCCCAGAGTGGGGCGAATGAGGGTGGGGGCAAGTGTGGGTGTTTCACCTACCCCACCCACAATTTTGATGTTGTCGGGGCCGGGGCGTGAACCGGCGATCTTCGGATCACAAGCCCACCTCTCTAACCTCTGCGCCACCACTTGAAGGATGCCATTATTGCCATTATTTCTCTCCTTGCAAGTATCTTTTAATACATTTTGTCAAACTTCAATCCTGGACTCCAGAGTTATGATTTCTAGGAATTTTTCTGACACATTACCAATTCATTATTTTGTCTAAAGTTTCAAATCTTTTCATATTTTGCACGTTTTCCTTCTGTGAATGTGTCATTCTTCCTCAAATCGTCAATGATTTAAGACAAAAAGTCAGCTGATCTTTGTTGACCTCAGAGCAAACTTCTCTGTTTACCTCACGTTTGGTTCATTACAACTTCTCAGAGGGAATAAAAGGCACAGGCTGTCACCTTGTTCCCCGTTCCAGCTGCTGCAGGGGGGCAGCTGGACACGCCCCGAGCAAACCTCTGGAATATGAAGAGGCAGACCTTTCACACATAACCACGCTGAAGAATAAACCTTTAAAATGTGTCTTTAAAGGCGTTTGCATTTCTGCTCTGAATGTGTTAAACTCAGCCTTCATTTTCTGCATAGTTTCTGTTATGACACGGCAGTCTTCATGTAACTGGCTCTAATGGGCCCCTTTTATTGGCGTGGTGGCACGAAACAGTCATTGGAGCAGTCGGATTTGGTATCAGTGTTTCCATGACGACGTGTATTAAATTGCCTTGCAGTCTACTGCCGGTGGACTTTAGACAGGTGGAGGACCAGGTGGCGCCGGCTTCAGTGAACACTTCTTCCTGGAAGGAACAACTTTAAACATGGTAAGAGCAAGAACCTTTTTCTACCAAGTTCTTTTTTTATGTGTGTAACAATTTATTTTACTTGACAAGCAGGTCTAACACAATGTTGTCACCCTGCAGGCTAAATTCTTTACACCAGCTCAAATCAACGGTAAGAGTAATAAATGCTGAATCTGTTTTATTATTGTTCTGTTTCTAAATACAAGGATAAAATTCCCTGATCTGATAAAAGCCGCTGATCGTCTGATTCTTCGTAACCTAGCAGTGAAGTTAACACATATAAAACACAACGATGAAGCCTGTTCTCATTACCAGAGTGGTGTAAAGCATGGTTTAAGTTCTTCTCGTCCTCTAACAGAGTTCAAAGAATGCTTCTCCTTCTACGACAAAAAGAGAAATGGAAAAATTGATACCAAGGATCTGATAACAGTCATGCGCTGCCTGGGTACGAGTCCAACGTACGGGGAAATAGAAAGACATCTGCAGGTTAATAAAATCAGTAAGTACAATCTAATTTGTTGGCTTGACAAGATATTGTTTACACAAATTTTATATTAAAACTAAAACCAAACTTCTACTTTTGTGTTCATATGTTACAATGTTCTCTAGTAAAGAACAAAAAACAAAACGAATAATTTTAGCCTTTATGGCAAACAGGATGAAGGTGGAGCTTCTTAAACCACAAGTTCTTAAAGTTGGGGTCAGGAGCCCGCTTTGGGCCACAAACCAACAAAATGGAGGTCTTGAGAGGTTATGACTGAATGTAAAAATTATATTTTAAAGCATATGGTCCTAACTGTTCCAGGAAACAAAATCCGTAGTCATGAATTAATAAAATTGTAAAGCAGTTGTGGAGGAAGCTTGTTTTGTCATCATGTCCTTGTTTATCTTGCATATTAAAAGTGTTTTTCTGTGGGTCAGAAGCTAAAATGTTGGGGAAATACAGTTTCAGCTAAAGTAAAATCAGCAGTTGTCAAGTATGAAACAATAGATGAAATGACCCAACCCTGGTCCTTGAGGAACACCATCCTGCATGTTTTAGTTGTTTCTCTGCTCCAACAC